TCATATAGCAGCAAGGGGAAAAAAGTCCTTAACCTACAAGGAAAGACAGATCAGGTTTGAAGCAGACCTATCCACAGAAACCCGGCAGGTCAGAAAGGAGTGGCAGGATATATTCAATTTTGAATATGCAAAATATGTAACCAAGAATTCTTTATCCATCAAGGCTGTCATTCAAAATAGGAGAGATTAAAATTTTCCCAAACAAAAACTAAAGGAGTTTGTGACCATTAAACCAGCCCTGCAAGAAACTTTAAGGGGGACTCTCTGAAGGGAGAAAAGATGAAAAAATAAAACAAAGCAAAACAAAACAAAAGCAACAAAGACTAGAAAGGACCAGAGAACACCACCAGAAACTCCAACTCTACAGGCAACATATGGCAAAAACTCTAAACGTCAGTGGACTAAGTGCTCCAATCAAAAGACATAGGGTAACAGAATGGATAAGAAAACAAGATCCATCTATATGCTGTTTACAAGAGACCCACTTTAGAACTAAAGACACCTTCAGATTGAAAGTAAGGGCATGGAGAACCATCTATCGTGCTAATGGTCAACAAAAGAAAGCCAGAGTATCCATACTTATACAATCTAGACCTTAAAATAAAGACTGTAACAAGAGATGAAGAAGGACATTATATCATAATTAAGGGGTCTATCCACCAAGAAGACCCAACAATTGTAAACATTTGTGGTCAAATGTGAGAGCACTCAAATATATAAATCAATTAATCACAAACATAAAGAAACTCATTGATAATAATACCATAATACTAGGGGACTTCAACACCCCACTTACAACAATGGGCAGATCACCTAAACAAAGTATCAATAAGGAAACAACGGCTTTGAATGACACACTGGACCCTATGGACCTAACAGATATATTAAGAACATTTCATCCTAAAGCAGTGGAATACACATTCTTCTCCAGTGCACATGGAATGTTCTCCAGAATAGATCACATACTGGGACACAAATCAGCCCTCAACAAGTACAAAAAGATTGAGATCATACCATGCATATTTTCAGACCACAATGCTATGAAACTCAAAATCAACCACAAGAAAAAAAATTGTAAATGTAACAAATACTTGGGGAGTAAAGACCATCCTACAAAAGAATGAATGGGCTAACCGAGAAATTAGAGGAAATTAAAAAGTACATGGAAGCCAATGAAAATGATAACACCACAGCCCAAAGACTCTGGGATGCAGCAAAGGTGGTCATAAGATGGAAGTATACAGCAATCCAGGCTTTCCTAAAGAAGGAAGAAATGTCTCATACACAATCTAACCTTACACCTTAAAGAGCTGGAAAAAGAACAGCAAATAAAACCCCAAACCGGAAGAATACAGGAAATAATAAAGATTAGAGCAGAAACCAATGCTATCGAACCCCTCCCCAAAAAAACCAACAAAACAACCAAACAACAAAACAAACAAAAAAACAATAGAACAGATCAATGAAACAGAAGCTGGTTCTTTGAAAGAATTAACAACATTGGTAAACCCCTAGACAAAAAGAAAAAGGAAAGGACCCAAATAAGTAAAATCAAGAATGAAAAAGGAGAGATCACAACCAACACAGCAGAAATAAAAACAATAAGAGAATATTATGAGCAATTATATGCCAATAAAATGGGCAGTCTAGAAAAAATGGACAAATTCCTAGAAACGTATAAACTACCAAAACTGAAACAGGAAGAAATAGAAAATATGAATGGACCCATAACCAGTAAAGAAATCAAATTAGTAACCAAACATTTCCCAAAAAGCAAGAGTCCAGGGCCAGACCGCTTTCCGGGGGATTTCTACCAACATTTAAAAAAGAGTTAACACCTATTCTCTTGAAGCTGTTCCAAAAAATACAAATGGAAAGAAAACTTCCAAACTCTTTCTATGAAGCCAGCATTGCCTTGATTCCAAAATCAGGCAAAGACCCCACTAAAAAGGAGAACTATAGACCAATTTCCCCGATGAACATGGATGCAAAAATCATCAACAAGATATTAGCCAACCAGATCCAACAATTCCTTAAAAAAATTATTCACCACGACCAAGTGGGATTTATACCTGGGGTGCAGGGCTGGTTCAATATTTGCAAAACAATCAATAAGATACATCACATTAATAAAAGAAAGGACAAAAACCACATGATCCTCTCAATAGATATAGAGAAAGCATTTGACAAAAGACAGCATCCTTTCTTGATAAAAAACCTTAAGAAAGTAGGGCTAGAAGAATCATACCTCAAGATCATAAAAGCCATGTATGAAAGACCCAACACTAATATCATCCTCAATGGGGAAAAAATGAGAGCTTTCCCCCCAAGGTCAGGAACAAGATGGGGATGTCCGATCTCGCCACTGTTATTCAACATACTATTGGAAGTCTTAGCCTCAGCAATCAGACAACACAAAGAAATAAAAGGCATCCAAATTGGCCAGAAGGAGGCCAACGTTTCACTCTTCACAGATGACATGGTACTCTATATGGAAGATCCAAAAGATTCCACCAAAAAACTGCTAGAACTGATCCATGAATTCAGCAAAGTTTCAGGATATAAAATCAACGCACAGATATCGGTTGCATTCCGATACACTAATAAGGAAGCAACAGAAAGAGAAATCAAGGAATGGATCCCATTTACAATTACACCAAAAGCCATAAAATATCTAGGAATAAATAAGTGAAAAATATATACACTGAAAACTATAGAAAGCTTATGAAAGAAATTGAAGAAGACACACAAAAAATGGAAAACTATTCCATGCTCCTGGATTGGAAGAACAAATATTGTTAAAATGTCAATACTACCCAAAGCAATCTACATAGTCAATGCAATCCCTATCAAAATAACAGCAGCATTCTTCACAGAACCTAGAACAGTCCTAAAATTTGTAATGAGCCAGAAAAAATCCTGAATAACCACAGCAATCCTGAAAAAGAAAACCAAAGGTGGAGGCATTACAATCCCAGACTTCAAGCTGTGTTACAAAGCTGTAATCATGAAGACAGTATGATACTGGAACAAAAACAGACACTCAGATCAATGGAACAGAATAGAGAGCCCAGAAATGGACCCACAAATATATGGCCAACTATTCTTTGACAAAGCAGGAAAGAATATTCAATGGAATAAAGACAGTCTGTTCAGCAAGTGGTGCTGGGAATATTGGAACGCGACATGCAGAAGAATGAACCTGGACCACTTTCTTACACCAGACACAAAAATAAACTCAAAATAGATGAAAGACCTAAAAGTAATACAGTAAGCTATCAAAATCCTCAAGGAGAAAGCAGGCAAAAACCTATTTGACCTTGGCTACAACAACTTCTTACTCAACACGTCTCCAGAGGCAGGGGAAACAAAAGCAAAAATGAACTATTGGGACCTCATCAAAATAAAAAGCTTCTGTACAGTGAAGGAATCAATCAGCAAAACTAAAAGGCAACTGACAGAATGGGAGAAGATATGTGCAAACAACATCAGATAAAGGACTAGTATCCAAAATCTATAAAGAACTTCTCAAACTTCTCAGACTTCTCAACATCCAAAAAGCAAAAATCCAGTGAAGAAATGGGCAAAAGACATGAATAGACACTTCTCCAAAGAAGACATCCAGATGGCCAACCGACACATGAAAACATGCTCAACATCACTCATCATCAAGGAAATACAAATCAAAACCCCAATGAGATACCACCTCACACCTGTCAGAATGGCTGACATTAACAACTGAGGCAACAACAGATGTTGTTGAGAATGTGGAGAAATAGGATCTCTTTTGCATTGTTGGTTGGAATGCAAGCTGGTGGAGCCACTCTGGAAAACAGTATGGAGGTTCCTCAAAAAATTAAAAATAGAACTACCCTACGACCCAGCAATTGCACCACTAGGTATTTATCCAAGGGATACAGGTGTGCTGTTTTGAAGGGACACATGCACACCAATGTTTATAGCAGCACTGGCCACAATAGCCAAAGTATGGAAAGAGCCCAAATGCCCATTGATGTATGAATGGATAAAGGAGATGTGGTATTTGTATACAATGGAGTATGACTCAGCAATCAAAAAGAATGAAATCTTGCCATTTGCAACTATATGGATGGAACTAGAGGGTATTATGCTAAGTGAAATTAGTCAGAGAAAGACAAATATCATATGACTTCACTCATATGATGGCTTTAAGATACAAAACAGATGAACATAAGGAAAGAGAAGCAAAAATAATATAAAAACAAGGAGGAGGACAAAAACACAAGGGTCTTTTAAATATGAAGAATAAACAGAGGTTTGCTGGAGGGGTTGTGGGAGGGAAGATAGGCTAAATGGATAAGGGGCACTAAGGAACCTACTCCTGAAATCATTGTTGCACTATATGTTAACTAACTGGGTGTAAATTTTAAAAAATAAATTAAAAAAAGAATATTTCTAAGTAGAAATGGCACTGAACAACAGGTAAGAATAATCTGACCTAGAGTAGAAAGATGTTTTGATTTACATAACTCACCAAAAGATGTAATGGAATGACCTCCAGTTTGTTCCTACTACTTGCTTTTTTCATAAGATGGATGAATAAAGCAAGGAATAATATATATATTTAATATATATTATATATAATTAATATATTATACATATATTAATTTCATGCACACACATACAGACACACACAAGTTTTATTATAATTCTTTGCTCTAACTAAAGAACTATTGGCCCTGTGGTGCTACGTAAGAGAACTTCTATCATATTAACAAATAATAGAAAAAAAGTGCTTCACTTCCTTGGTATAAGTAAGTACTCTTTCAATACTGAGGGGCTTCTAGTACCCAAAGGGAAGAATGTCAGAAATTGACACAGTGACTGAATTCAGTGACATTTTCAGTTGGAGATTCCTGCTTGGCAGGTTTGAAATCACGGTACCATTTATAGACCACTCCAGTCTTTGCTGGATGGTACTAAGTTTGGAAAGCCATGACAGGGAGAGATGGGAAACTTACTTCTCCATTTCAGAAAAAAAATATAAATCATTGATCGCAAAGTTGACAACAATAATCTTGTGGCCAAATATACGACGCTTCATAAGGATTATATCTTCATTCTCAAGGTCTGTACTCCGGACGTTTGCGACATTTGCAGTTGGTCGTCCTGATACATTTGGTGATGTGGAGAAATCTGAGAGAGAAGGAGGAAAGAATTAAAATCTAATTTGATCAAGTCACTCATAAACTTGAAGCCTCCAACTTGGACATAACTAAAATGAAGAAAGGAAACCGGACCCATCTTTGAGCCTATTGAAAGAGTGATTTCCTACCTACCCTTGGGCTCAACTTTTTACTTTGACTTGAAGTACTGCTGAAAAAGCCATCCGCTCAGATGGCATGACAACATACACACACACACACACACACACACACACGCGCACACACACACACGCACAAATCACTGTGTACTGAAAGCACAAAACAACTGTGTTTTCCTGGTGCTTGTTTTGTAGAAATATGATTGCACTTTAGTTATGCTAATCCCTAACATTTCTGCAGAAAGTGAATATACAGATGTGACCTTCAAAATGGAGTCTGTGATTCTGATGATGCTTATTCAAGGTTTATCCGGGAAGTAATTTAGAAGTAAACTGGGGAAGCAGCACAACAAAAAAGCCAAACATCAAGAGTAAAGAAATTTATTAAACAAACAGAGATAAGGGCACCAGAGTAGAAAACAGACAGGAATGAGTAAAGATAAACATAGAAGATTCTAGAAGGTTTGGATTGTGTCTCAAAAAAAAAAAAAAGACTTATTTTAGAAAGTTTCTTGACTAGGATATAGCTAAAGAAGTCCATTCATAGGGATTTGGGGCTGTATTTGGCATGTAGACCCTAGTTAATTGACTGGCTGGGGTTAAGAAAATTGTCTAATCCAGCTCTAGGATTTACTATTTTTCCTGTAAAATCCAATATTGTGGATATCTGTTCAAAAATCATTCATGTGGGTGTGGTGCTTCCTATGGCATAAGTGGGATTCCTTTTGGAGCAGTGTTACATATAAGATGGGAGGGTACTACAACATTCAATAAATAGCTAACACCTATTATGTTCCAGACACTGTGCTAGGTCCTAGGGTTATAGTACCAACTAAAACAAAAAGCTACTCCTTCCTATCTTACAATCTGTATCTCTTAGAGTTTTGTTTGAAGGGGGAAAAAAGTCAGAACAGGAAAGTTGGTGTGATGGTCAGAGATTTTAGGAAGAGAGGGTGCTAAATTCACTCAAGAAATCTGGGAGCAGTGATATACTTATAAACCAACTCTGGTAGGGAAGGGGAGATCTGATTTGTAACATTTGCTGATTTCTATAATAAATACTTCTATCATAGTTGATTTCAAGCTATTTATGGCTCACAAAGTGCCCTGAATATTTGACAGTTGACTTTCAATTGGATTAAGATTGTCATGTTGGATAATTTTTTTTCAAAGCAAGACCCAACTCTATACTGGCTACCAGAAGAGCAATTTATTTTTTTAATGTTTTTGATGTTTATTTATTTTTGAGAGAGAGAGAAACAGAGAGAGACAGAGAAGGGGAGGGGCAGAGAGAGGGAGATACAGAACTCGAAGTGGGCTCCAGGCTCCACACTACCAGCACAGAGCCAGATGCCGGGTTTGAACTCATGAGCCGTGAGATCGTGACCTGAGCCAAAGTTGGATGTTTAGCCAACTGAGCCCCCCAGGCCCCCTAGAAGAGCACTTTAAATGTAGGGAATAACTAGGTTATAAATAAAACAATGGGAAAATACAATATTGCAAACACTAATAAAAAGAAAGCTGGAGTGCCTATTTTAATATCAAAGTAGATTTCGGAGAAGAGTATTACCAAGGGTAAAGAAAGGGTTTTTTAAAAATATAACTTATTGTCAAATGAGCACCCAGTGCTCATTCCAACAAGTGCCCTCCTCAATGCCCATCACCCACTTTCCCTTCTCCTCCACCCCCCATCAACTCTCAGTTTGTTCTCTGTATTTAAGAGTCTCTTATGGTTTGCCTCCCTCCCTCTCTGTTTGTAACTTTTTCCCCCTTCCCTTCCCTCATGGACTTCTGTTAAGTTTCTCCAGATTCATATATGAGTGAAAACATATATCTTTCTCTGATTGACTGATTTCACCAGTTCCATCCACATTGCTGCAAATGGAAGGATTTCATTCTTTCTCATTTCTAAGTAGTATTCCATTTTATATATAAGCCACATCTTCTTTATCCATTCATCAATTGATGGACACTTAGGCTCTTTTCATAATTTGGCTATTATTGAAAGAGCTGCTATTAAATATTGGGGTATATGTGCCCCTATGCATCAGTAATCCTGTATTCCTTGAGTAAATTCCTAGCAGTGCTATTGCTGAGTCAAAGGGTGGTTCTATTTTTAATTTTTTGAGGAACCTCCACACTGTTTTCCAGAGTGGCTGCACCAATTTGCATTCCCACCAACAGTGCAAGAGCGTTCCCATTTCTCCACATCCTCGCTAGGATCTACAGTTTCCTGATTTGTTTGCTTTAGCCACTCTGACCAGTGTGAGATGGTATTTCAGTGTGGCTTTGATTTGTATTTCCCTGATGATGAGTGACGTTGAGCATCATTTCATGTATCTGTTGGCCATCTGGATGTCTTCTTTGGAAAAGTGTCTATTCATGTCTTCTGCCCGTTTCTTCACTGGATCATTTATTTTTCATGTGTTGAGTTTGATAAGTTATTTATAAATTTTGGATACTAGCCCTTTATCTGATATGTCATTTGCACATATCTTTGCCCATTCTGTTGGTTGCCTTTTAATTTTGTTCATTGTTTTCTTTGTAGTGAAGAAGCTTTTTATCTTGATTAGGTCCAAGTAGTTCATTTTTGCTTTTAATTCCCTTGCCTTTGGAGATGTTTCAAGTAAGAAATTGCTGCAGCTGAGGTCCAAGAGATTGTTGCCTGCTTTCTCCTCTAGGGTTTTGATGGTTTCCTGTCTCACATTCAGGTCCTTTATCCATTTTGAGTTTACTTTTGTGTATGGTGTAAGAAAGTGGTCTAGTTTCATTCTTCTGCATGTTGCTGTCCAGTTCTCCCAGCACCATTTGCTAAAGAGACTGTCTTTTTTCCATTGGATATTCTTTCCTGCTTTGTCAAAGATTAGTTGGCCATACATTGTGGATCCATTTCTGGGTTATCCGTTCTATTCCATTGGTCTACGTGTCTGCTTTGTGCCAATACCATACTGTCTTGATGATTACAGCTTTGTAGTAGAGGCTAAAGTCTGGGACTATGATGCATCCCACTTTGGTTTTCTTATTCAGTATTACTTTGGCTAGTCAGGATCTTTTGTGGTTCCATACAAATTTTAGGATTGTTTGTTCTAGCTTTGAGAAGATAGCTAGTGCAATTTTGATCAGGATTGTACTGAATGTGTAGATTCCTTTGGGTAGTATTGACATTTTAATCATATTTATTCTTCCAGTTCATGAGCATGGAATGTTTTTCCATTTCTTTGTGTCTTCTTCAATTTCCTTCATAAGCTTTCTATAGTTTTCAGTTGACAGATATTTTACATCTTTGGTTAGGATTATTCCTAGGTATTTTATGTTTCTTGGTGCAATTGTAAATGGAATAAGTCTCTTTATTTCTCTTTCTGTTGCTTCATTATTGGTTTATAAAAATGTAACCAGTTTCTGTAGATTGATTTTGTACCGTATGACTTTGCTGAATTCATATATTAGTTCTAGCAGTCTTTTGGTGCAGTCTTTTGGGTTTTCCAAATGCAGTATCATGTCATCTGTGAAAAGTGAAAGTTTTACTTCTTCTTTGCCAATTTTTATGCCCTTTATTTCATTTTGTTGTTGGTTGCTGATGCTAGAACTTCCAACACTATGTTAAACAACAGTGGTGAGAGTGGACATCCCTGTCATGTTCCTGATCTCAGGGAGAAAGCTCTCAGTTTTTCCCCATTGAGGATGATATTAGCTGTGGGCTTTTCATATATGGTTTTTATGATGTTTAAGTATGTTCCTTCTATCCAGACTTTCTTGAGGGTTTTTATTAAGAAAGGATGCTGTATTTTGTCAAATGCTTTTTATGCATCTATTGACAGGATCATGTTGTTCTTATCCTTTCTTTTATTAATGTGATGTATCACATTGATTGATTTGCGAATATTGAACCAGCCCTGTAGTCCAGGAATGAATCCTATTAGATCATGGTGAGTAATTGTTGAATTTGATTTGCTAGTATCTTGTTGAGAATTTTGGATCTATGTTCATCAGGGATATTGGCCTGTAGTTCTCCTTTTTTATGGGGTCACTGTCTGGTTTGTGAATCAAAGTAATACTGGCTTCATAGAATGATTCCGGAACTTTTCTTCCATTTCTATTTTTTGGAGCAGCTTGAGAAGGATAAATATTAACTCTTCTTTAAATGTCTGGTAGAATTCCCCAGGGAAGCCATCTGATCCAGGACTCTTATTTGTTGGGAGACTTTTGATAACTGGTTCAATTTCTTCGCTAGTTATGGGTCTGTTCAAATTTTCTATTTCTCCCCGTTTGAGTTTTGGTAGTGTGTGGGTGTTTAGGAATATGTCCATTTCTTCCAGGTTGTCCAGTTTATTGGCATATAATTTTTCATAGTATTCCCTAATAATTGCTTCTGATAAGTGTTTCTGAGGGATTGGTTGTAATAATTCCATTTTCATTCATGATCTTACCTATTTGGGTCCTCTCCTGTGATTCCCATGCCTGGCGCTTGACTGGGATTCAAATTCTCGCTCAGTGCATCCTGGTACAGGGGAGGTGCGGAGTCCTGGTACTGGGGAAGCTCTGCTCTGCACCCTCAGATATGTGGCCCCCTGCTGGCAGGCACAGGCAGGCGTTGTCCTGTCCCACAACACTCTAGGAAAGGAATTGCTTTCTCCTACTGCGAACTGCACCCCTGACCTAGCCACCAAGCCATGGACTGGCTCCCCTCCTGCCCAGGTGTGTGATCTGGGCAGCCGGTCCCAGTCTGGAGAAAGCCCCACAGTTAGAAATTGGATCTTTCTTCCTCCTAGTTCAAGGTTTTTCTGTGGCCAGATATAGTCCTATGCTTCACCAGCCTCTCTTTCTGTTCCCTTTGTCTCTCTGAAGGAGGGGATCCCTCCCCTCCATTCCTTTTATCTCTCCCAGTTCCAATCATGCTCCTATGGCCCATCAGGTTGTCCCGGTGGGTCCCTGGAAGCACAACTGTCTCCTTTCTTCCCGGGCTCCTGGGGTTCAAAATCCTTTGGCTTCAACACTTCTTTGTTTGAGAGACTAGGGAAGTTCTGATCCCCCTACTTCTCTGCCATGTTGGCCCCTTCTCTCCCAAGAAAGTGTTTTTTGTAATGATAAATGGGTCATTGATTGAAGGATATAACAGTCCCAGAAAAGGCTAAATGATAGTGATAGGAAGGAGACTACTGGCCGGTAGATCTCCCACTGAGCTACAGAAGCACTCTTCTTGGGCTCTCTCATACAATACTAAGGATATGGGAAATTAAAGGGGGGGTGACATGGGACTTCCTATCATTCTGGGGCATACAGGTTTGAACTAATTTTATTTAAAAGAAGAAACAAAAGAGCTGGAACTACTCTAAAATCCTAAATGTGAAGCAGTTCGGAAAACATACATACAAAAACTTTTGCAAATTAGAAAATAAAATAATATTTTAAAATTCCAATAGAAAAATAGACAAAGGACATAAACAATTCAAAAAAGAATGCAAATGACCAATAAATAAAAGTGCTCAATTACTAAAGAAATATACATAAGAATGGCACATTATTTTTCATTTACTGGATTGGCAGTTTTTTAAAAAATGCATAATACCCCATGTTAGTGACAATGTGGCACTCATTTATACTGTTGGTGAGAATTTATTTAGTGTGATGTTATTAAAGGACTGAAATTTAACTATTTTTAACCATTTTCCCATTTCTCCCATTTTAAGGAGTTTATTTCATAGAAATAACACAATTGCAAAGTATGTATGTTTTGCAGTATTATATGTTATAGTGACAATTGGAACAACTCAAGTCATCAAAAGAGATGAAAGTTGTCATTAGTTCCTCCAATATTATCTCAGACACTTTTGGCATCTTATTAATCTCCCATCTATCTGGCCTGATTGCAGTTCCTGCAATGTGCCATCCTCTTTCTTATTTTAGGATCCTATGCAGACCTAGAAATTTCTCCCCTCCTATTTTGTCTCTCTAACTTGCTCATTCCTGAAGACAAATTTATGTGATTTTCTAGGAGAAGTCTTCCCTGATCCTACCCTTTGCGTAACTAGGGTCTCCTTGAAATTATCTTTGGGATCACTCACTACATAATAATAGCAATACACTGGTTAACTCTTTTATAGCAATGGGTAAAGATATTTTATATGTATTAACTCACTTAATGTCCACAATAATCTTATGAGAAAAGCACCATTATTATTACCATTCTACAGATGAAAAAAAAAACAGAGGCACAAACCACTTTCACAAGGTCCTTCAGTTAGAAAATGGCAGATTCAAACCCAGGAAATCTTGCTCCGACATCTGTGGCTCTTATTTTCTGTCTTACATTCAAGACTTTAAATGCCATGAGGACATATGCTGCATGTTTCCTACTGTATCTCCAGCACCTGGCAAAGTTCCTGCTACATAGTAGATTCTCAAAAAGTGATGAATGAATGAATGAAATAATAAATGTAGTAGTTGAATAAATCTATACTACAGACAGTTTTATAAAATGTAAGATCTTGCTATGCTTTAGACTAGTCATTCTCCACCATTGCTGGCTCTGTAAGCAGAAGCCACTGGACTCACATCCTCTCTAAGCAGGGGTGAGCTTGGCTTTGCACCCAGGACCTGGAGTTCTTGCTATACCCCACACTAACACAGGTATGACACACAGCAACCGCCCTGCAGTTTCTTATCTGGGCTAACCCCTGTGTCTGGAATGTCAACAGGAAAGGCAGTAAATAGAGAAGTGACTTACTTTCCTTGCTATTTTGTACTTCCAGGTGAAGATATTCTTCAAATTCGTGGCGTTTACTGGGATCAGACATAAATCTGCGGTACTTGCAAAAGCTCTTAATAAAGCTAATCATTTTCAGCCAGCCTCTCTTCTGGGAAAAGAGAGAGGGGTATGCCACATTCATCAATATAGCTTCTGTTCACTGAAAGTTTACTATGACAGAAATTTGACATTCATTACATTTAATCCTCACAACACCTCCTTTATAAGAAATCATCTTTAGCTCCAATTTTAGGATGAGGAAACTCAAGTCAGAGAACTGTTAGCCTTCCCTAAATTAAGTGGATAGTGGGTAGAAGGTTCTGGCTTTACCTAAGCATGGGGCCATTGGCAATGCCCCTTCTACCACCATTTTTCAATGGTAAGATTTAAGATACCATGATTAGGAGAGACAGTGTGAAAGCTAAGAACAGGAAGAAAACAGAGGTCAGAGAGAAGTTAAACTCACAAGAAGAGAATAATGGCTTGGGCAGATTTGAAGTGTTGAAGAAATAAGGAAATTAATAAAAACATTTCTAATCATTAAAAAGAGAAAAATATAATTACACGCACACCACACACACACACACACACACACACACACACACACACACAAATGCATTTTATAAATTCCTCATCTGTTTCATAATACCCAGTGACCATTCTGTAATTCATTTGCCCCTTGACGAATTGATATTTAGAGTCAGAAATGATCTTATTGATCAACTAGTTCAGTTGTCTCATTCTACAAAGTGGAATCCTCAGTGTAAGCATGGCTTTAGAGAGCCATGTAGTGGCTGGATTTGGGATCAGAAATTTTCCATCTGGAGTCTAGCTTCTTCCTAATTGTGTAATTTGGGTCAATTCAATCTGTGTCTTAATGTTTCCATGTGTAAAATAGAAACAACAGCCTTCAGGGTTGTGGTGAGGGTTAGTGATTATACATGTAAAGTCTAATGCAGTGCTTGGCACAAAATAGGCACTAAATCCATGTTGGTTTCTTTTCATCTTTTCTTATCTAAGAGCAACTGTAAGACCTGAAATTAAAACGAAGTCTCCTGGTTCTGAGTGCAATACTCTTTTTAATGTCCTACATGATCATTCATGGTATCCTGACATGGAGTTGACTCATACATGGAGAAAATAAAGAGGAGAAAGGAAGGAGCAGAAGTTTTCATATCTGGAGTATAGGATCAATGGGCTTAGGCATTATTTTCAGAAATCTTAGCATGATTTTTGGAGTCAGATGGAGCTGGGCTCAAATTTTTCTGATACTAATCAACTCTACAACACATTGAGCAAGTGATTATTTAAAGGAAGCATAAATATTTTCTCAAATCATATGAAGAGACTTTCCTGAATAACATTCCTGTCTTGGGGAGCATGCATCTTAGTGGAGGAGGTCTGAAGTACTCTGGGATTTACTGAGAAACTTCTTTGTAAAAACTGTATTATTGCCATTTCCTTACAAAACTGTATTTTGGAAAATTATATACTGTCAATTAAAGTGCTTTTGTGTAAGTTGGAAAAAAATTCCCTTTGCTCTCCTCCCATGGAGAAAGAATGGGTTAAATAATTGATAGGTTTGGAAGGAGAAAATGGACATGTTCTACTGTCAGCCTCCTGCATTCTCTCTCTGGGAGTCTCTTGTTTGCAGGATACCTGTGTTTAGGCTTGCCCTTTGTCACTCATAAGGGGTTCACTCAAGTAAATGCAGGCCTGAGTTGCTCCATTTTGCCAGTGATTGGACTTGTAACTAAGTTTAATTTGGGTGCAGAGGATTATTAAACCCATTTGGCTTCACAGCCAATCCATGTCCTTCAAACCAGCTTTCAGCAGTAAAAACACTGACATTTTGGGGGCACCTGGGTGGCTCAAGTCAGTTAAGCCTCTGACTCTTGGTTTCTGCTCGGATCATCTCACAGTTCATGAGTTTGAGCCCCAGCATGGAGCTTGCTTGGGAGTCTTTCCCTTTCTCTCTGCCTCTTCCTCCTCCTCCTCCTCTTCCTTCTACTTCTTTCTCTCTCTCTCTCAAAATAAATAAATAAACTTTAAAAATTAAAAAAAAAAAACACTGACATTTTGATCTCCATGTATCTAAACCTTATGTCTATCACTCAGTTGGTTTTGGTCACAGAGAGTGAAGGCAGGGATTTTCTTAAATTCCCACTGTAACAATTTCTCTGGGCCTCAGAATTCATCTTTGTAAATGTGAATTAAGAAACCTATCCAAAAGAGTAGTTGTTTTGGTGAATAAATAAGCTAACAATGAAACTGTTTTGCATGGTTGACAATGCCTAAGCAGTGCTTTTTTGTTCCCAGTGTCTTGTCTTCACTGTCTTCCTCACTGACCTGAGATTCCTGTAGGTAAGTTGTTGTCTTTGAGGGCTTCCTAGAAGTTTGAACTTCAATATGCTGCCCTTCCTGAGGGTAAGGTGGGAACAGCTCTTGGTAATCTTTAAACCTGCCAAAAGGAGACCAAGGACATCAAAGAAGGCAAACACCTGGTACATAAAAGGTAACAGTCAAGTCAAACCTATCTCAGCTTTTGGAGGAAGTCGAGAAAATGGGAATTGGGGAATAGTGAGACATTTACAAATATTCTTCTTCCAATTTCAATCCTTTGCTAATGTCAGCCTATCCTTCCTAATCAATACTGTATTGTTCTTTGTTCAAGTAAATGAACTGAAGTGTGTGTGTTTGGACGTGTGTGCACAATGCATGTGCATAGCAGGTAAGTAAGTAGAGGATTCAAGATAAATTTGCCTTTTCTCTTGCAAGGAAGCCCTGGCAGTGAACTTCTGCAATTTGAGACTCTTTGAGTACTATGGCTTTCAGAAGCCCCTGTGCAGGTCCAGAAAGAACCATGGCATTCACTGATCAATACTCACCACTTTTCTTCTAGAGATTTCATGACATATCCCTGTAGCGTTAATAATGTAGTTGTGCTGACATGACGCATGTGAGAGATTTCTTGTATAATAGGGGCATCACACTGCAGTATTACTTCTAAAAAATGCAAGAGAGAAAAAGTCCCCATCTTCTCTTCTACCATTTCTGAGGTAGTTCGTGTGTTTTTCATCTTAGAGTCTGTCCCTTATTCTCAATCTGGTTAGACTCTGAACTCTTCACTCCAATTTGTTTGAAAATCTCAGAGGAGCGTTGCAGAGAAAATACAGTCCTGGTTTGCTTCCATTCAAGTTTCTAAGATGAGCGCTTAAGGGCAAAGAAATATTTAAAGGACTCATCTCTGCAGCTAGTTTAAAGTTTTTGGTTTAGGAAGAGAGCAGAACAGTAAAGGATTAATGTTAAACTGCTGGGGTAAATGAGGAATCCAAGATTACAAATAAGTATCACGAGGGCAATATAATTCTCCAGGTGTTCAGAGACTATTTTGTTCATGAATAAGACTTGAGAACTTATCAAGGACAAGATCTACATACTCCTCTTTGTCTTCTTCCTGAGACTGAACAAATAAATATTTCTTACAAGTAAAGATTTGCCAGTTGTACCTCTCTTTTTACTTTCATAAAATTTATAACCTGATCTAGATTGCCACAAGCAAATACACACACACACACACACACACACACACACACACACACACACACACACCAGTTCATTTGTGCCAAAATAAAAGGCTTTATCTTCGTTGCTTTGCTATAGATTTGTTTACTTTGAGGACAGAATTATGCTCACCTCTCTTTTTCTCCTCTAAAATTATATAGGTCAATACTTTACTTGCAACTTTTGTTTCTGGTCAAGATGAATTTACATAGGTCAGATTGCCCTCCCTCCATAGACAAGAAAACAAAATTAATGAAATAAAGATTTTCAGGGAGACAGTTTTCTCTTTCCCAGTACAACTCTCTCTACAACCCATAGTTCGTGGGAGCTCCAACTTTACAAATAGCTAACTCTTGTTTTTGTATTTAATTTATGTCTAGTTGATTTAAGGGTCAGATGACTTGAGTTTGAATTCAAGTTCTCTGAATTTCATATTCCTCATTAGTAAAATGGATCTATTCATTCCTACCTTATAGAGATTAAATAAGATCCTATTTTCAGTGTTGAACACAGTTAAATGAAAGGATATATTTCACATATAAGTACAAGTGCCTTGCATTTGGCTTCCCATACTAGTATTATACTTTAGTTTTATTATTGTTGCTCTCTGTTTTTACTGTCCCTCTTAATCTTTATCTCAATACTGCTCGTGTGGCCACTGCTCTGTTCTGCTCTTTCAGGGGACCCACATGAGACAGGTTTTCTGTCAAACTCTTCTCCTAAAATACTAAAGGGAAAAGGAAACAATATCAGGAGAACATGATGCATACCAGCAGGGACTTTGCCATGGAAGAAAGTCTTGATTATATTTTCAAAGAGAGACTTGTAAATTTTTTCATTTGTCTCAATACTGATCTTATGTATGGCCATCAGGAATTTCAAGGGGCTATCAGCCTTCCGTTCTTTGAGGAACTCCTTGAAGAATTCCAAGTGGTTTGAATTTAGGAGGACTTCTGTCAAGTTTCTGGAAAACAAGAAAGCATCGTTGGTGAAGAGAAAGGTATGGTAAACCTGGATTCTGCTCCAACTATGGAATGGGAAAGGGCATCTCCCAGACTGTGGGGCCTTTAGCTGTGTGTAAAAAACAGGGTGAAAAAATTGGTTACTATTTACTTAAAGATAAATTTAAAATTTTATATGCACATGTACCACAGTGTTTATAGCAGCACTTTCAACAACAGCCAAATTATGGAAAGAGCCTAAATGTCCATCAACTGATGAATGGATAAAGAAGATGTAGTTTATATATACAATGGAATATTACTTGGAAATGAGGAAGAATGAAATATGGCCCTTTGTTTGTTTGTTTTTTTAAGAGAGAGAGAGAGAGAGAAAGAGGGAGCAGGAGAGAGGGGTACAGGGAGAGAGAGAATCTTAAGATCCAGTGCAGGGCTGGATCTCATGACCATGAGATCATGATCTGGCCCAAAATCAAGAGTCAGAAGCTTAACCAACTGAGCACACAAGTGCCCCTTTATCATTACTTTTATGGGGAGACAATTTGTGATGTTCTTCCTCCACCATTCCAGAAGTCTGATTCTTCCTCTTCAGTGGTCTTAAAGTCTGTATCTTCCCTTCCATTTCTACTCCCACTGTTTAATTCAAGGTTTTTTTTAATGTTTATTTTTGAGAGAAGGAGAGAGAGAATGTGACAGCGGGAGGAGCAGAGACAGATGGAGGATCCAAAGCAGGCTCTGAACTGTCAGCGCAGAGCCTGACACAGGGCTCAAACCCACGGACTGTGAGATCATGACCTGAGCCAAAGTCTGATCTTAACCAACTGAGCCACCCAGATATCCCTAATTCAAGTTTTTAATATCACCTGTATGAACAACTGCAACAACCTTCTAACTAATATTTCTGTCTTCAGTCTCTGATGTTCTGACTCCTGTATATGTATCATTACCACTTCTGCCTGGGTACTGTTTTCTAAATCCATATAAAAGGTATCTCTGTTACTCTTGTTCCAACAAGTCTCAAGAAATTCTCATTTCCAGTTAATCAACATAAATTCCTTAATAATTCTTTTAAGGCTTTATTTTTGTTATTTGGTCTCGATTTGGCTTTCTAATGTTATAATTTATGTCTCTTCACCCCATGCATTGTATGCTTTAACACCACTGGGCTATTTTCAAGTTTTTAAATACCTTTATATTTGTGAGTTTATGTTTGTGTCATTTCTTTAGCTTGGAAGGTTTAGCTCTACCCTCAAAATACTCTCATTTCTTTGCAAATGCACATGAAATTGTACATGTAGTTTGGGGTCTCTTCTGATAGTTTAACTTTTCCTAATCCTTACTCAAAATTTACTTCTCTTTCCTATACCCTTATGGTAATTCTCCAATATTTTATTATGAAATTTTAAGGTCAGCCTTGTAAAGGTAAGGAATATATTTCATTTTTGTAACATTAGTATCTGGGGCACAGTATATGTTCAATAACTGTTTATTGCACTGAACAAGGGCTAGGGACAAGGTTAAAGAGAAATGCAACTGTGGGATCCATGGGGCATTCTGTTTTGGTCTTAACTGAAGACATGAAACCGGATGATAACACTTCTGTGATACTTAGCTAAATAGAATAGGTATTTCTATAGACACAGTGGAAAGTGGTGCAAACTGGAACAGCAAAAGAAATAAATGATTAATGGTCAGAGAACAATTTCAGTTCCTTCAAAGGAAGGAAGATCTATCTAGAGTATTTAGAAGAGAGACAGGACTTATCATCCTCAATGAATGTTATCAGTAACTGAAAGCATACTTTGGAGAGCTTTCTCTATTCAAAATATTCTCCCAGTGACTCTGACTACCAAATTTGTATGTGTTACTCTATCTTTATCTTCTTTAAGGACTTTTCATATACCTAGTCATTAATAGGTAATTATTGAATAAAAAAAAATGAATGATTGAATGAATGGCATGGCCTATAAGAAAATCATAGTCAAGTCCAAGAAAATGGAAAAGATACCTAAAAAATAAAGAGCAGTAAAAAGTAGTACACAGTAAGTACTTTGTGTTGTATTTTAGGGATGTAGTGCTCAGAGAAGAGGGAAGTCATAGCGACATACATCTGAAGAACTTTTTATGTAGAGGTGGCACTTGTGCTCAGGTAAGGAGAAAAAAGTGGACACTTCTGAAAGAAAGGGCCACAGAGTTTTTTCCTAGAAGTGAGACCTTAATAAGTTGATTCTAGGATTTATTATAAGGGGAGAGACATGAAATAAGGAACCAGTTAGGAGGTTACTACAATAGTACACAATACAGAAAAAGAAATAGGCAAGAATATATATACCAGGATGTTTATTGTGACACTATTTATAGCAGTGAAAAATGAAAAATAATGTAATGTCCATTAAAAAGTTCATTAAACTGTCCATAAAAAAACATGCTACATCTGTATTATGAAAGGGGATATAACTCTACAAACTATCATGATGTCCATGATAGTTTTTTTAGTTAAAAAATGTTATAATATATATTGCATGGTCTCAATTATAGAAAATAAATAATTGGTTTAAAATACAAAATGTGGGGGTGTCTATGTGGCTCAGTCGGTTAAGTGCCCGACTTTTGGTTTGGGCTCAGGTTATGATCCCCGCATCATGAGATCAAGTACCACATCAGGCTCAGTGCTGACAGAGTGGAGCCTGCTTGAAACTCTCTCTGTCTCTCTCTCTCTGCCCCTCCCCTGCTCTCTCTCTTTCTCAAAACAAATAAATAAATATTGTGTGTATGTTTATGATATATGGAAAAAATTAAAAACAAAACTCATATACTGAAGGATAAGTTCAACATTAGACATGTTGAGATTAAAGAAGACGGCTTGTGTCTGGAGAATATTGCTGTAGCCAAATCCTATGTCTTACCTAGGTCTTAATGAGGGCTTCCTCACACCAGTCCTTTTGTAAAATGATGTTTTCCTAGGTGAGGGTGAGACCACTCTTGGTTCTCTGATAATTTCCACTGTGAAATCTAACGAAAAATCACAAAGTTAGGGAATAACATATTATAAGAACATTTCAGAGAATAAGAAGGGACAAATTAAAAACGATATTTATCAGACATTGAGTGCATGTGGAAAAATCATAGTCCCCACAACTGTCAACACCTCAGGCAATTACTGCTGAAAAGAAACTTAGGGATGATTTTATCTCTGACTTCAGTTCCAACTGTGTTATCTAAGTCTGCTGGCCATTAGGCCGAGAACCCACCTTCATCAGAAGACCGCTGAGACCAAGTTTATTTTATTTCTTATTTCAACACCAAATGTCATCCATCCTTCCCCCAGTCAGCCATTTTGACTAAACCATAGTCTACATGACATTCAGTCTTCCCTGACACCTCTGTTATCCCATCCTATGCCCTTTCACCTCTGGAACTCCTGCTGTGTAATCAGCAAACTCTCACAGAGTCTTGACCTCTTTGTTAAGAATTTCCTCTATCTTCTTCTTACTTTAACTGAAATCGTTCCCTTTCTTGAAAACACTGTGCCCACTGCAAGCTTCTTAAAAGGTACTCTATCACACCATACACAATTTAGAGTGGGTATCTGGTTCCCTATTGCCATCTAAAAACCATTATTTAAAAAAACGTATTAAAACACTACTATCGAAGAACAACAGATTCCAAGGATCTCAGTGTTTTAGGAGAGCCCTTTGAGGTGAGTATTTTAGAAGAAAAGATAGACTCTCAACTCATTAAGGGCAAGGATGGTATATTACTTATGTGAGAACATGTCCTAGTTATATAGTCAATGCTTTAAAATGTTTATTAAATAGAGTATACTCTCACAGATAATTTTTGTGCGGTTTAGTAATACTTTCAGTGACAGCATACAAAAAAAAATTGAAAGCAATAGAGGTATATACTAGTTCTAAATAAATGCAATTGAATAGGTGAAAAAAATAAAATCAAGACTATGGAAGACTAGATACAAAAAAAAAATATTCACACAAAAGAAATCAAAAAACTTCCAATACAAACACTTATAAATGCTGGATTAAAAAAATAACCCTTTTAAAACTCATATGTAAGCTTGTAAAAAATTAAGACAAAAAAATAAAAACATAGAAATAAGAAACAAGGAGGATGTTAGAAACCAGAAAGGTAAGTTCACACCCTAGAGGCATTCATAATGTTAAAACCACAATAGGTCAGAAGACAAAAACCACTGGCCTTTAGAACATGGACAAAAAAACAAAAAAACAAAAAAAAACCTGGCATTACTTTTATTCTCAAGACACTTATCAATTAAGACAGTTGCTACTGAAAAATTTAACAAAGTTTTTGGCAGACTCTCAAGGCAGAAGAAGGCAAAATTGAAAACAGCAAAGGAGAAAAGGCTCTGACAAGTACCCCAGTCTTTTAATTGGGATCCCAAGAAGTAAGGGAAACCAGAAATAGCTCATCCATCAGAAAGAATAAAAACTGACTTTGCACCAACTCAATCCCTAAATGGATTAAGGTTATTTGGATGCTACTTGGGGGGGGGGGGGGGCGCCCCGGTGCCAGGCTGAGACCGGGTGGAGCAACGTTCCCTGTTGACTTAGCCAACCCGGCGGTTCCCCCTCCCATTCCCCCACTTTCAAGGGCATACGAAAGCCTTGTCAAGGCTGAGAAAGTTAATTCCTGAAGCCTGTGGTCTGCAGGTGTTGGCAGTAATGCTACCTCCCTTTTTCTACCCCGAATCAGATAGAAACAAACATGGGAATTGTGTTTTGCTAGCAATCTTATCAACAAGGTCTTGTTGTGACCCATCTAGAAAATGCACAAGAAACACAGAACTAAATGTTTTGATTGGCAGCGATTATGTGAAACCTGTTTATTCTTAGAATGGCCTGACCCATAAGATTCTGGATATAAAAGATTGTGTACAGCAACAATAAAGCCGTCACTTGGGCCATCAGCCCAGGGGACCCTCCTGTTCCCAAACTTTCTTCTCTCTCTTTTTTCTTGCATTCCCCTACCCTCAGGACCCTGACCTCGGTGTTTGTCGCGCCGGTCGCGACATACTTGTATGTATCCTCTCTGGAGAAACATAACATTACCCAGAACCTCAAATTATCTCTACAAATTTCTTACCAACAATGTTCACAAATAAAGCAGAAATAACAATGTATTTTAAAAGACCTGACCAAAAACCAAGGGAAAAAAATTGATAGTTGAAATAGATATATGAAATCCAAATATGGACTTTAAAGTTACTATTATTAATATAGCTCAAGGAATTAAAAGGAGGAAAATATCAACATACACTGAATATCAGACAAAAAATATTCTAAAAATAAAAAATTTAATGACTGAAATTAAGAAAGTTAAGAATTAATAAATTGGTTTAATTACAAATTCTGCATAACAAAGTGAGAATTACTGAACTAGGATTTAAATCAAATATGCAGACTGAAACATATGGAGAAAAATATGGAAAATAAAGAAAAAATCACATAAGACAAGCACATGGCTATAATGTCAAAAATATATGTAGTAAGGTTATCAAAAGGAGGGAAGAAATAAAACGGAGCAGGACAAATATTTGAAGAGATAATTGAAAATTTTCTAAAACTGACAACTGACATCAAGTCAGAAATTCAAGAAGTCCTGAAATCACAGGTAGCATAAATACTTAGGTACATAATAGTAAAATTGCATGAAAGAAAAGACGAAAAGAAAATATGGGGGGGGGGGTAGTGGAATGAATAAAATAAATATTTCTTTTTAGTAAACAATGTCAGTAAAGGCTTCAGGCTGACTCCTCGAAATGAACTAAGGATGCCAAGAGATAATAAGATAATATCTTCGAATTGCTAAAATAAAATAATTCCACCAAGAATTCTATATCCAGAGACTATAATCTTAACAAATAAAACCAAAATAAAAATACTTTAAAAATTCACACTAAAGGAAATGCAAAAGGTGTTTTTGGAGGCAGCTTAGAGGAGTGGGAAATGATGAAAAAGAAAGAAAAAGTGGATATGTGAGTAAGCCTAAATGAATATTGACTTATAAAACAGTAATATATATGCAGTAAAAGCAGTAAATTAAATTAAATTTTAATATGTCAAGGATGCATTTTGAAATCTATACGGTAAACACTAAAAAAAAGAAAACATGCAAAAACAACACATTAGCAGAAAGAATATATAGAATTATTAATCTAAAAAAACTTGTAATCTTAAAGAAAGCCAAAAGGAGAGAAAAGGGAACATAGAACAGAAGGGACAAATATAATATAGTAAGGTAGCATTTAAAACCTAATACATGAGAAGTTACAGTTAATGTAATCAGACTAATACTCTAATTACAATTTTTTTTTTAATTTTTTTTTCAACGTTTATTTATTTTTGGGACAGAGAGAGACAGAGCATGAATGGGGGAGGGGCAGAGAGAGAGGGAGACACAGAATCGGAAACAGGCTCCAGGCTCTGAGCCATCAGCCCAGAGCCCGACGCGGGGCTCGAACTCCTGGACCACGAGATCGTGACCTGGCTGAAGTTGGACGCTTAACCGACTGCACCACCCAGGCGCCCCACTAATTACAATTTTTTAATGTTTATTTATTCTTGAGAGAGAGGGGGACAGAGTGTGAGTGGGGTAGGGGCAGAGAGAGAGGGAGACACAGTATCCAAAACAGGCTCCAGGCTCTGAGCTGTCTGTAGAGAGCCCGATGGGGGGCTTGAACTCATGAACCATGAGATCATGACCTGAACCAAAGTTGGATGCTGAACCAACTGACTGAGCCACCCAGGTGCCCCTAAATACTTTAATTAAAAGACAATTCTCAAATTAGATTCAATAAAAATGAAAACACCAAAAAAGAAAAAAAAAAAAGAGAGATTCTGCTTTAAAGAGTCTCACCTTAAATATAAAAGAAGGAGATATTAAAAAATAAAAGAGTGGAAAAGGATATAACAAGCAAACACTAACCAGAAAGAAAAGTAATGACTATAACAATATTAGAAAAATAATAAAGTAAGAAGTGTTATTAGGGATAATGATTTGCTCTACCAGAAAGCTATAATTCCAAATTTGCTTGTATCTAGAGCTGTAGCCTCTAATAATAGAAAGGAAAAACTGCAAGTCTTAGAAGAAAGAAAGAAAGAAAGAAAGAAAGAAAGAAAGAAAGAAAGAAAGAAAGAAAGAAAAGAAAGAAAGAAAGAAAAAGAAAGAAAGAATACACCGAGTGGGGGATTTAAAAATTCTCTTTTGGTAATGGATACAAATGTAAACTAAAACTATCATTAAGGATATAGAATATCTGAACATAGTGAAATACACCTAGTTGCATATACAAAATATTGCATCCAACATTACGTGCTTTATAGATAATTAATTGTAATAAGAGGGTACCACAAGCAACTTAATAACATATATGAAATTTCAAATGAAATCAATAAGTGTGTAGAAAATACAACATATTAAAATGATATAAGAAGAAATAGAAAGTCTGTAAAGTCCTATATATTTTAAAGAAATTAAGTTTTAATTAAACCTCTCTCAGATTAAGACAAAGGTGCTTGCCAACACTATTTCTATCTGAAAGCGTAATGGAGAATCTAGTAAGACCAATGAGGTAATGAAAATAAATCAAAGGTTGGGGCGCCTGGGTGGCGCAGTCGGTTAAGCGTCCGACTTCAGCCAGGTCACGATCTCGCGGTCCGTGAGTTCGAGCCCCGCGTCAGGCTCTGGGCTGATGGCTCAGAGCCTGGAGCCTGTTTCCGATTCTGTGTCTCCCTCTCTCTCTGCCCCTCCCCCGTTCATGCTCTGTCTCTCTCTGTCCCAAAAATAAATAAACGTTGAAAAAAAATTAAAAAAAAAAAAGAAAATAAATCAAAGGCATAAATATTTGAGAACACTAATAAAACTCTTTGTTGGTAGAGGGCACAACTGTGTGTGTATAAAAATCAAACAAATTTGCAGACAAATTTTTAGAATGAATAATTTAGGGAAGTGGGGAGCACAAGACAAACATGTAA